ACCTGGACAGGTCTCCAGTCCATCACAGGGACACCTGGACAGGTCTCAGTCCATCACAGGGACACCTGGACAGGTCTCCAGTCCATCACAGGGACACCTGGACAGGTCTCCAGTCCATCACAGGGACACATAGAGACAAACAACCATTCTCTCTCACTCACACCTAGAGACAATTTAGAGTTACCAGTCAGTCTAACATGCATGTTTTTGGTCTGTGGGAGGAAACTGAAGTACCTGGAGAAAACCCACGCATGCATGGAGAGAACATGCAAACTCCACCCAGAAAGGCCCCCTGGACCGGGATTTGAACCAAGGACCTGCTCACTGAGAGGCAGCAGCTCCACCAACTGCACCACCTTAAAGATTTTCATTAGAAATTGAAAATAGTCCAAGCTCTGAGCACATCCCTGGCCAGTTGTCCCACAACAAGGAACCAGCTCTTTTGCTGGTCCTGTCACTTCTGCTTTTGAGTTTGGTTTGTGGGGAATGGTGTCAGGTTACTGGTCCTGAGCGCTCTTGCTGCTGGTTTGGTGGTGTAAAAAATCCTTCAAACCTACAGGAGCCAGCCTATTCAGAGCCTTTTAAAACTTTTAGTAAAACGTGTTTAGTAATGAAGTCAGTGAAGCCTTGCTGCAGAGCGGTTAGCAGAACCTACAGGATTGTTTCCAAACCACCAGGGAAGGCTGTGATTGCGCAACACTCAACTAATAGTGAGCACAGCCACGAGAATAAAAGAGGACCTCATCGGTGAACCTGTGGCGTGGGTTTTCAGAATGGTTTGAGAGCAAAACAGACATTCAGGAAGAAGTTTTAGGAGCCAAGACTTAAACAACAGTCTGCTTTGAGCTGCACACATTCAGAAAAGAGCAGGTCAAAGCAGACGATGAAGACAGTTAAAAAGCTTCTGCGTCAGTGAAGTTGTAGTACAGTAGTCCCTCTTTTATCGTGGGGGATCTGAACCCTCAACCCCTGCGATGAGTGAAAAACCACCAAGTAGGAACAGTAGTAAAAGTAGTAAGAAGTAGTTTATTTTAGTATTTCATATGTAAAGTAGTCCCTCATTTATCGCGGGTGTTTGGGACCACGCCCACCTGCGATAAGTGAAAAACCACGAAGTAGAGACACAGTAGTCCAAGTCCAAGTTCAGTAAACTTTGTCATGACACGTGCCAGGCTACAATCACACTCATCACCTGTTACTCCCAGTCTCCCTCCTTAAATAAACAATTTAAATTTAAATACTGTAACATTTGAAATAAACAATTCGTGCAGTGAAATCCCTGTAAGAACAGCAGGTGTACCACATCAGTCTGAAGTTCAACATTCAGCTTTATTTACGAGCACCAATTCACAACTAAGGTCATGTCAGGACACCGTACAAAGAAGTCATGATCATAGAGTGAATTAAAATATTTGTTATATGAAAAAACCTCTGTCAACGTTCCTTTGTTCCCTAAAATGACTTTTTAATGCCTCTACATTTAAATATAAGCATAAACATCTTCTTATGGTCAGCTAACACATTAATTAAATCACAACAATAATAATAATAATAAAAAGAACATGTGTTTGCCTCATGGTCACCATTCACCTGATTGATTCGACATTAGACAGACAAAAGCCAACTTTAATCAAACAGACTAGTTTTCTTAAGAACCAGATGGTTTGAAGCTGAACCACTGATTAAAAATGATGAACTTTGTGGCACCTCTTGGCAGCTGTTTCATAATAATCCATCAGCTGTTAAACACGGACTCTCCAATGAACTTGTTTCATTACCGTAATTCTCGGGTTACAGAACACACCTGACTCTAAGCCGCGCATACTAAATTTAAGATGAATCATAATTTTGTACGTAAATAAGACGCTCCGGTTATAAAGCCAGGGGTGTCCATGTTTCACTATCAGGATCTGTGCCCAGCTCCTGGCATCATGTTCAGCTCTTGTGGTAGTACAAGAACCAGCCAGTGGGCGGCGTGTCGTGGACCATGGCTTCATGATCGTCTTCATGATGCTCCGCTGTCTGACTCGTGGTTAAAACCATTCAAGCTATAGAATGAACACAAGAACTGTGTAAGCATGATCGCTGGACAGAACGGTGCCAAACACATACGTAACCAAAATTATTTCTAAATGATACACGGGTCAATGTTACCCCCAAGTCTCAGCAAGGTGATGTGACCGGGCGCCACACGGAGTACCAGTAAAATACAGCAATATTCATTAAGTTATTACCATTGATTTTTATTGTTGAACACTTTTGGTAACAGCTGCTGTTTTTAAATGTACTCTCTAAATGAATTTGACGTGATTTCTGCTCAGCGGAGCCTGGAGGAGGAGGAGGAGGAGGAGGAGGAGGAGGAGGAGGAGTCCCTCCTGTTGTCTCCACTCTGTGCTGGGATGTGAGCTTAAATGAGATACGATATTTAAACACACATTTACTGTACACAGAAAGATGTCACAGAAATAATTTTAAAACTCTTATTGAAATATGTACCATATTTGGCTGCTTTAAACATTAATTTAGTTGACTTCTGCTTAGCAGAGCCCACGTTGTGACCCAGGAGTAGAGGAACATTAAATGTTGTTTACTGAAAAATGTCCTTAACACAGCAAGAAGGAAAAAGTACCGGTAGTCGACCAAAAGTCACTCATCGCTATGTTCTTCGTGAACCAAAGTCCTCTTCGAGGCTCAGGCATCATCACTCATCGTCTCGCAGCTGTTTCTGTTTCCTCTTCCACAGCCGTATCCATCACTTTTAACTTGAAGCTGCATCATGAGGACTTCTCCGTGCGTTTCCATTATCGCTGCAGATGAACACGGTCTGTGCAAGAAGTGCAGAATACGGTACCGATCTAAAGAAAAGAGTGCACGTCTTATCTTAGGAGATGGTCTTGGAGAGTAGAGCCCATCGTGTCCAAGGCTAGACTTCTGGTCACATGATGGCAGAGACGGAGTTAATGGCAGAACGTCTGAAAGCATGATGCAGAGGTTTGCTACAGGCACCAGAGGCATCACTCTGTGTGTCACGAAAGCCCGCTGCCGAGAGGGGTGGGTGCTGGGCAGCCACACGAGCGCCCAGCTTTGTCAAAGGAAAATGTGAGTCGTGTCAGGAAGCTGCCGACATACAGCAGGTAGCCTGTCAAAATAAAATGTGGCAGTATAAATTATTACAAGTATGAAAATGAAATACACAAATGAGCTGCTCCTGTAAATAACTACAACGTGTGAGGAGAAAGTAGAGGCTTGTTCAGCAGCAGTTATACCACCAAGAGGAAAAGGAGCCTGTGGTAGTTCCACCTGCGTATCCAACAACCTATTCCCAGTTTTCCCAACTGGTCAGCGAGGCTGTCTAACTGAACTGACGGGTTATTAACCCCTTTCCTCTTGTCCACGTCTTGCGCTCACTGTGACGTGCATCATGGCTCATCAGGAACATGTTGGATCGTGACCACACGTGTTCAGTGTGTTCATGTCAGCTCACAGCTGTCTTCACACATCTGCTTTATTTCTTGTCAACGCGTCTGAGCAACTCCTTCGTTTAAAAGCAAGAGATGCTAAACTGACGACCTTATTTTCCTTTTGGCCACCAGCAGCTGACTCCCACAGTTTTGCAGAGAACAGGGATCGCCCGTCCCACCCCTCCTCACGAGGAAAACAAACGTGCCAGCTGGGAAATAAATTGCTAACGCATGAAGTCAGAAGACGCTTCTAAAGATCTGAACTATGTGTTTAAGACCAGATGTCTCCTTTTAACCAAACGGCTCTCAATGAGTGCAGACTTTTTTATTTATGACTGACTTTTATCAAATTTGACATGAATCACAGCAGTTGCTGACTCTTTTTTGGGGGGTGGGATTAAAGTTGTATTTTATAAAGAGAGATGTTCCTAATTATGATAATTAAATAAGTAGAAGCTAAAACTAGAAAGTTCCTGGAGAAACTTTGGCGGGGACTGCCATGTGGGGACCATTAAATTTTTTTAATTTGACAGTACTGTGTGTTGGTTTGCTCTCAGCTACCATCACACCAAATTTCAAATGAGCTCAAATATCAATGAGTTCTAGTCTTTTTAAATTAATTTTAATCTATGGTGGCCATCTTGGATTTTTGATATGGATTCAGTATGTGAAGGGGGATGTTCTCAGCTATAATGGCACCAACTTTCAGCTCTATGTGAAACTAGTTGAGTTAAAACCTTTTAAATGTAGCTTTGGTGGCCGTCTTGAGAAAAAATGTAATTCAGTATTTATTTTGCTAAGATGGTCTCTTTGGCACGCCCCCTCATAAGTAAGACATAAAGTTAAGAAACCCTTGTCAGGTGGATAATAATAGGTGCTGCCTTACTAGGTCATCCCCAGTTATGGTAACATTTATTAATTTTAATGGACAGTTCTTGAGTAGTTTGAAATAAACACCAGTGGGATTTTTGTTGTTGTTGTTTGTGTGTGTTGAATTTTTATTGGCTAACCGACTCCTGTCTTTAAATATTTTAGGAAGTAACAAGAACTATTAAACCGTCCAGCACGTCATTGTGTGAAAGCTGTTGTCCTGTTGCGTCCTCAGTGGTGTAATAGTGACTGTTGTTGGTTCCAGGGCCAGGGCGCCATCACAGAGAAGCTGCGGAGTCTGAGTATGCATGACCTGACCCAGATAGACCAGCAGGAAGACCGAGGAGACCTGCTGTACCAGTACAGCTCCCGCTCTGCTAACCCAGCCATCAGGAGGTCGCAGACCATCAACCCTGCTGCTAGAGATGGTACGCACGCACACACACACACACACATGCACACACACACACACGCACCAAGTTGTTGTTTTTCTTTTGTCTGCTCCCATCTGGAGGGCCCCCACAGCGAGTGACCTCTCTTGAAAGAGTTGGGTGTTGTTTTATGCAGGATGCTGTACCTGACTCCATCTGGGCTCAAACCTGCAGCCTCAGAATCACAAAGTCATGGCACTGACCACCAAGCTACCGCGTCTCCCCACATGCAACTCAAGTTTCAAAAATCATTTCCACTTTAGGACGGCTGCATGTTTTTAATGCAGCTCCCTTCACTTCAGCTCTGATGTCAAACCTACGTCTGTTCTGAGTGAAGCTGATGAAGCACCGTGTCCATTTTTCAGCATCGTTCTCGTCCCACAGTTTTCAGCTATTTCAACAAATCATGAATCAAAACGTTCGGCTCTTTCAGGACAATCCTGCTGTGACTTTTGGTATTAGTGCAGCTTTAGCTTTTTGAAATATTTAGTCTTTTCTGACTTTTTATCTCCTAAAGAAAATGAGATCAATTTATTTTCTATATCTGTTCACAACCTTTTACTGCTCCTTTCATATTTTGTTCTGCTTCAGCTTCTTTCAGCTGCCTTCTGCAAATTTAAGCATTTTTTCAGCTGCTTTCAGCTGTTTTTTCAGCTGTTTTGTGCTCCTTTCATGTTCTTTCTGCTAACTACAACTTTTGTTCTGCTTCTTCTAAATTATTTCTGCTAATTTCAGCTTGTTATGCTACATTCAGCTTATTTCTGCAAGTTTCAACTTATTCTGCTATTTCAGCTGCTATTTAGTTGTTTTAATGCTAATTCAGAGAGAGTCAGAGTCAGAGTTTCTTTGTCATTCGCACCTCATGTGGTACATGTGGTGGAGCGAAATTTTAGCCTTTTCAGCTAATTCCATATTTTTTGCACTCATTTCTATTTTTTTTTCAGCCTAATTCAGCAAAATATATGTTCTCTCCACTTTCTTCTGATAATTTTAAACATCTTTCAGATTTTTTAGCTTCTTTTCAGATGTTTTTTCTTTTTTTTTGCTAATTTAATATTTTTTTCAGATAATTTCCACGTTTTTTGGACTCATTTCTTTCTTTCAGCCTAATTGGGCAAACCTGTACTTTCTGCCTCCATGTGCTCTTTTAAGCTTGTTCTACATTTTCAGATTGACTTCCAGCGTTTTCTTTTTGCTAATTTCAGTTGTTTTCAGATCAATTCAAGTTTTTCATGGTAGTTTTTGCTACTTTCAACCAAATTAACTTATGATAATTTAAGCTTATCATGCTCCTTTCACCTGTTTTTTTTACTAGTTTCAGCTTTATCTGATATTTCAGCTATATTTTAGTTGTTTTTGCTAATTTTTTCTTTTTCAGCTAATTCCACCTGGCTTCCCTCGATCTATAAACTTCAAGTCCAAGCTCTACCTGTGGTGTAAATTTCGTCAGCCTTACCTGTGAGGTGTGCCCCTCAGCGAACAAGCATGTTTACTGACATTATTTGAGACTATTGTGATGGTCTCGCTGCAGTACACGCCTCTTCTGTTTGACATGGTGCCCCCCCCAAAAGGACTGCAAGTCAAAGCTCAAGCAGGAAAAGAAAAACAAACAGGCTTGTTTTGTGCAAATACTAGAGGTCAGCTGATTTAACTGGTTTTTAGAAATCAGGGCAGCAAGTGACTGATGGACACCTCAGATATTTCATTATTCATCATTTAACAAAATACAATATTTGTTTACCTTAACCAAACATGTTTAACAGCTCTTGGGGGAACCTTGTGCACTTAAAGGTAATGTACAGACGAGCATTCCGACTTCAAATAAAGAGCTAGAGGGTTCAATAAGCTAGCTGTATCTGATAATGGTGCAGCTTTTTTACTACTTTGTAATTGGCTAGGTGTGTGCAGGTGTGAACATTGATTACTTATTATTATGTTAGTTATTATAAGAAGTGTCCAGTGTTGGCTCATTAAAATTGGTCAGTTGATTATCTGGTTTATCTCTAAAAAACACTGAGAGGATGTTTGCTGCCATCAACATTTAAACCATTCAGGAGCTTCAATGACACAAAAAGCATCTACCTCCCGATGAGAAATCACTCCCACTGTGTTTCTCATTGGCTGTAAGCAGAGTGCCACAGACCGCTTAATGAAAACTATAAACCCCAGAGTGGAGCACAACGCTGGACTAAGACTGAGTCCGCTCACACAAGTGGTTGCCTTCGTGGATGCAGAAGAGCATGAACAACTATCGGCTCATTCAGAAGACACAGCGAGGGGGGTCAGAGACAGCCCTCCTCTGGTGAGCTTCTGTGACGCTGAGCGTAGTAGAAACAGCTCCGAGCTGACCAACATGTGACAAAATACAAAGTACAGAGCCGTACTTCAGTAACGTAATGAAGTGTTGGTGTGTGACCACCTGCTCGCTGGATTAAACAACACATTTATTTAAAGGTAGTTAACCACAAAGAGGATTGCTAAAGTGAGTTAAATGTCGCGAGGCAGACGTCCGACACACATTTAATGCATCACTCCAGCCCAGCTGAGTTCTGATCCACTCCTCTTGGTTCTGCTCTGCCTGCTTCATTTCTGGACACACATCTACGCAGGAAGCAGCCGGCTTCATTTACAAGATCTGAGATTAAATGTCCTGATGCATGCTCAATAATCCAGGTAGAAAATCTTACCTGGTTAAGATTAAACCTTCCCGCTCTTCAACTGGAAGACGACCACTGGGGCCAAAGCTGCCCTGAACTAACCTTCAGTTACAACAAGCCTCTACAATAACGCAAAACACTCACATCTGCCAAAGCAAAACAGATGTTTAACCACAGCAGTTCTGACACAAAGACTCCGAGAGTCATCATCTGTCTCTTTGTCTCATGAAAGCTGCAGTTTGGCTGGCATTTCATGTATGTCTGTCTGTTTCTGTCTACCTGTCTGTCTGCCTGCCTGTCTGTCTCTCTGCCTGTCTGTCTGTCTCTCTCTGTCTGTCTGTCTATCTGCATGTCTCTGTCTGTCTGACTTTCTCTCTGCCTGTCTGTCTGTCTTTCTGTCTACATGTCTCTCTGTCTGTTTGTCTCTCTGCCTGTCTGTCTGTCTTTCTGTCTACATGTCTCTCTGTCTGTTTGTCTCTCTGCCTGCCTGTCTGTCTGTCTGCGTCTGCCTGTCTGTCTCTCTCTCTCTCTCTGTCTGTCTGTGCGTGTGTGACAGAGATGACTTCCCAGCAGAGACAGATGAGAACAACTGGAATGCCAATGGAATGTCAAACACATACTCTTGCTGTTCTCTCTCTGACACACACACACACACACACACACACACACACACACACACACACAC